GATCTCGGCTGCGTTGCCCCCAGAAATGCTATCGAAAGCATAACCTGCGAGGGAGTCGCTTCTCTCTCTCTCTCCTGCCTTTCCAATCCGAGCAATCCCTCCCTCTGCCAGTTCCCCAGCCAGTTGGGAAGCCAGCCTCGGAATGTCGTCTGGAGCTGTAACGCCAGCCCCCTAGAGTACACAGGCTATGATGGCTTATCACAGACTTACTTGGTTTGTGCATTCTTTTCTTAACTGAATTAATCGACCGGATGTACAAATCAGAGACTCAAGAAACGTTACGATTGAAGGCAGTCTTCGCTTCTTCCCGAGAGCTGGGTCTGCAGAGCTTCTGCTTCCTCTCCTTCCCTGCGGCCGCTCAGCGCTCCTCACTGCCCAGCCCCGCCCTGGCGGCCCACCTCCACTCCTCTCCTTGTCCACGGGCACACGGGGCCCGCTGGCCCTGGGGATGTGCAAAGGCTGTGTAAGAGACGAGACCACGCATGGTAAGTCTTGTGGGGCACGTGACCTTGGTCCCGGCGAGCCAACTCTGCTGTTGAAGAAGGGCAGGAACCCTCAGCCGAATGGAGACAAAGGCCCATGGCTACCTTCTCATAAATGTTACAAAATTCCCTTGTCATATCTTTACATTCCCTATGATTCTTACGTGTCACTTTCAAAACCAAAACTCAAGAGGGGCATGCCCGCCCGGTGGACAAGCGTGAACAAAGCTGAAGAGCAGTCAGTGTGGCCAGCACAACAGAACGAACACGGGCTGGCAGAGAGGCCGCTGGCCAGTAGACCGGGCCCCGACTGGGGGCGCCTTGAGGGCTCATCCAGAGAGGCAGGACGGGTTGAGTCTGGTGACGAGGTTCAGACAAAGGAGCTCGCTTTATGTGTAACCATCATTGTTACATGTAGTCTTTTTATGTCCCTCACCACCGCCTGTCTTTTTTGTCCCCTCACATGGTAGTTCCTGGACCTTTCCTTCAACAGCCTGACTGGGGAGGCCATCTGTGACCTGG